CACATAGTACTTCTGAGCACATTCTTCCCAGGTTGACCCAGGATTTAATTACAGGCTGAAGGATGCTGGTGCTAGGTCTGCTCTTGGCCACACTGGCCTGTCTTCCTCCAGGCTCTGGCCCCAAAGGTAGCCTGGTCCATGTTCTGTGGGTGTGGCCTGCCAGGCCTCGTGCTGGGTGATTTTCCCTGACAAGAACAGGGTTTCTCCCTGAGCTGCTGGCCTCACTGCCCTGCTGCTGCTTCCTGACCAGCCTTATCTCTGTGGTTCCTCACCCCCTGCTTCATGTCCCTTCTGTGATGATGCTTAATGCTGCTCCCAATAAACTGACTTGGCTGCCTTCTCACCTAAGACTCAACCTTGTCCCTTGGTTGCAGCCTGATTCCAGTTGCCATGGGCAATTACACCCACCATCAGTCAGGCCAGGGCAACTGACCTCCAGGCTGTGAGAACACACCCTGGCCAGCTTGAGTCAGCATCAGGGGTGGGGGAGTAATAGGAAAGCAGGCATAAAGTTAAGTGTTATCATTTTATCTCTGGAGATGGACATTTACCCCCAGAGGTAATGAGGGAAGGTAGTATGAACATGTTTGACAAACGGAGACAACTGTTTGACAACTGTGGTTCCAAAAGATGTGATTGACCCAAGGTCACACAGGAAATTAAAGGACCAGAGGGCTTTGCCTTCTAGCCTGGGGTTGGTTCCTCTTTACTTTCTCCCATTGCCGAAGGCCTGACTCTCCAGTCACTCCCTGGCAAGAAGAACACTCTGAGGCACACAGTCCTCTGAGAATCCCATGCCCGACCAGAGTCATCAATTGACAAGAGGGCGTAGGGCCCCTATTTCCTCTGCAGAGCTACGTGGTTATGGAGGTTCAGCCCATGTGATATGACGATCTGCCTGCTGGACATAGAAAAGAGGAAGAAAGGGAGGTGGGAGGAGGTGTGTGGGGTGTTGAGGCCTCTGCATCAGGAGGCTTCATTCTGGTCTCTGCTAGAGTTCAGAGCCCGGCCCTCTGATCAAGTAAGACCGCCATGTGTTTTCACTAGAGTCCTGCTCCCCATGCATTTTACGAGGCTGTGGTGTTCAGAGTCGGTCATTTTGGAAGTAGAGGAGTGGAGGAACTGTCAGTCTCCCGTTTGGGCATCAAGAACAGTGTGGGCCCTCGTTCTCTAAAGGACAGCAAACATGTCCCTTGACTCTGGGGGTCTGAGTTCTGTTGTCTGTTAAGTGGGACCCTGAGCCTTTGCCCACCTTTCTGGCAGGGGTGTTGTGATATGTTTTAGAATGTTTCCCCACCTCACTTCTGAGATGCTGTGAGAAACAATTCCCCAGGGGACTCTGTGTACCTCCTTGCCGCCTACTCGCGTTGCTGGAGGAAACAAAACCCCTCCAGAAAACAAAAGACATCAGTGCATCAGAATGCACCGAGCGGATGGTGGTGTTTGAATTGGAAATCAGTGAGGTGGTTTGGTTTCTATTCCGTATCAGAGCTTGATTCATGCAACACGAATTTGTCAAGGTTTTGTTCAGTAGACAAATATTTGTCGAGTGCCTGCTTCGTGCTCAGCCTCCCCCTGCTCCGTGGTGGAGCTGCAGAAGTGATAACCCACTCTGGGGTGGGGGATGCGGGCAGAGTGGGACCCAGTTCGGAGTCCTGGCTCTGATTCCCACCTCCTTGGTGACCTTGGGCAAGTCACGTCTCCTCTCTGGGCTTGTCCCTTAGCCACCTTCCTCATAGCGTTGTTGCAAGGATCAAGTGAGGAAATGCAATGCTTTTATTAGCAGTGACTGAAACACCAAGTGTGGTTATTGCTTTATCAGGAGTGATGAGAAGACATGGGCTCTGCTCCCATAGCAGCGTGGTCGGGGAAGCTGTTAGTTATGGCAACGGGAGCTTTGGGCTGCGGGGAGTGGACATATGATGCTACGGATGCACAGGGGAGTCAGGGAGATTTGTGGCGTTCATGATGATTTCCTAGCGAGCAGCTGTGAGCCCTGCCAGGGACGGCGGATGGAAAGCATGCGTGGGATTTAGAACAGAACTTCCTCCATTCCTGGGGAGACAAATCTAGTATATGCCAGCTTTCTTACACAGATACCACCTTCAAATCTCCTGTGGGCATTTTCAGGAAATTTACAACCATGTGCATCTTGGGACAGGGTTCAGGGGAGGGGAAGGGCAGTCGTGGGGGTGGACGTCTTAGTTGGGTTGGCTGCTGTAACAGACAACAGACTGGTGACGTCAACAACAAACATGTATCTCTCATGGTTCTAAAGGTTGGAAGGCCAACATCAGGGTGGTGGCTGATTCTGTGTCTGGTGAGAGCCCCACTGGCCAGTTGGCAGATGGTGACTTCTTGCTCTGTCTTCATATGGCAGAGAGAAAGATCATTTATCTATTGTCTCTTCTTATCAGGGCACTAATTCTATCAAGAGGTCTCCATCCTCATGACCTAATTATCTTTCAAAGGCCTCACCTCCAAATGCCATCACTTTGGGGGTTAGGCCTTCAGCATATGAAGTTTTGGGGATCTTCCCAGGTGGCTCAGTGGTAAAGTGTCTGCCTGCCAAGTAGGAGAGGGAGGTTTGATAAGGAAATGGCTACCCACTCCAGTATTCTTGCCTGGAGAATCCCATGGACAGAAGAGCCTTTTGGGCTACAGTCCGTGGGGGTCCCAAAGAATTGGAGACTACTTAGCTACTGAACAAAAACGACAACAACAACAACATATGAAGTTTCAGTTCAGTTCAGTCGCTCAGTCGTGTCTAACTCTTTGCATCCCCATGAATCGCAGCATGCCAGGCCTCCGTGTCCATCACCAACTCCTGGAGTTTGCTCAATTAGAGGGACACAAACGTGCAGTCCATTGCAGAGGGTTACTTCATTGAAGGCGTTGTGCTACTGGTAGTATTGGCGTGGTAAGGAGAGAGTTCCAGGTGAGGGGAGAGCAAGGGGTGTGTGGGTACCTGGTGTGTGTAGGGCAGAGTAAGGAGGCCGGTCCCTCCAGGCCCTCCTGCCACCCCCTTCTTTCCCCTCCCAGGCCAGAGCGTGCAGAGCTTCTGCTGGTCCAGAACAGAGTGCCCAGGTAGGAGGGGTGAGCTGGTTCTCTGGTAGTGTGGGAGGGCCAAGTTGGGGTGGGATAGGGAAGACAGGAGGGAGATGCAAAAGGCTATTTAGGTAGCTGGGGCAATAGTGCAGGTTAGTGGAACTGACCTTAGATGTAAGAATGAGTTTGCAGATTCTGTCTGGTTGGATTGGCCCTAAAACCCCTGCCCTGCATGTGCCATCCATGTTGCTGGTTTTTCTCCATTTCCCCTCACATTCTTTTACCCTTCTCCATCCTATTCTGTGTTCTGGGAGCACAACCCCTATGGACTGAAGGCAACAATTTACTTAACTATCTACCCCAAACATTATGGCCTACAACACCCACCATTTGATTTTGTTTATTGATTCTATGCTTACCTGGTGGTACTAGTGGTAAAGAACCCACCTGTCAATGCAGGAGACGTAAGAGACGCGAGTTTGATCCCTGAGTCAGAAGATCCCCTGGAGGAGGGTATGGCAATTCACTCCAGTATTCTTGTCTGGAGAATCCCATGGACAGAGAAACCTGGTGGGCTATAGTCTGTAGGGTCATAAAGAGTTGAACACGACAGAAGTGACTTAGCACACACACACACATGCATGCACATATTGATTCTATGAGTTGGGATTTGGGATAATGTGCAGGAGGGACTGCTTATCTCTGCCCCCACAGTGCCTGGAGCCTCAGTCTGGAAGCCTTGAAGGCTGGGGATGGGATCTTCTGAAATCCAAAGGTTTACTCACTTACCCGTGTGAGACTGATGCTGACCGTGGCCTGACACCTCCGTTGCGGTAGTCCACTGGAACCCCTGTACGTGGCCTCTCCACGCGGCTGCTTGGGCTTGCTCAAGGCAGGGTGGCTCACTTCAAGGCGTGAGCATCCCAAAGAGAGACAGGTAGAAGCTTCATCGCTTTTTATGACCTAACAGATATCACAGTGTTTCTTCTGCTGTAATCACACCTGTGGCCAGATTCATAGAGTGTTAAGGTCCCACTAAGAAGAGTGTGTGGGAGGTGAGATATTGAAGCAGCCATTTGGAAAATGGGCTCTGCTGTAGGATAAATCAGCAGGAGATCAGATTCATTCATTCACTTACTCTCTGGTTCCATCAACAAACATTCCATGGCTTCCTCCCTGATGGACTGTGGGTCAGTGCGGACTTGTGTTCCTGTAGCAAATGCCATAGCTCCTGTTGGTCTGACTTCTCCTTCCTGGCAGCTCCCAACCCCCACAAGGCAATTCTGGAATCATTCTAGAGGTGGCAGCAACTCCCACTGGGGTGCTTCACCAGTCCTTTCTGCTTTCCCTTAACCCTGCTCACGCCTATTAAAAAGTCCCTTCATAAAGATCTCCTCAGTCACCCTCTTGAGTGATCATTTCTGTCAGAACTGTCACTGATACACTGTATGTCATGGGAGGAAGCTGAGGCTCAGGGCACCTCCCACAGTGAATGTCTGGAGTGGGTTGGCTTTGAGCCCTCCGCTCTGGTCTCTGGGTCCTGGGCCCTTTCCCGGGCACCACTGGTGATGTGTAGTCAGGGGGAGCTCATCAGAGAAGCAGGGCCAGCCAAGCCTGAAGTTCTGTTCTCCCAGGTCCTCTAGCACCCTGTCACTGCCTGCTGGGCTCAACTTGTGGCCTGGGTGGCCATGTTTGTCACACCCCCAGGCTGGGGAATCCCTAGCCCTCCCTAGGTTAACTAGCAACAGAGTGCCCTGAGGGGTGAGAGACGTGCCCTCCCACCTGCTCACAGGCACTGGGGCATCAGGGCCAGGAAGGATATTGCGTCAGAGCCGGACACCTAAGCCCGGGAGTTGAAGGGGCTTGCCGGCAGTCACAGAGCGTGAATTCCCAGCCTAGTGCCAACCCTGCATGCCCACCAGACTAGGTCCCCAGAGTTCTTAAAAGAGCTTTCATTTCTCACTAGATGAGTGAGTGATACCCGCGATGTCAATGATGCTGATGACGATGGTGATGCTGCTGCTGCTGCTGCTGATAATGTTGATGATGACGACGACGGTGATGGTGATGACGACGGTGATGGTGGCAACAAGTTTGCTGAGTATTTTCCATGAACCGGACACTTAACCTACATCATGTCATCTAAAATTGCCCCTTCATAAGGGGACATGACATTTTTGGGGCCCCTTTTCTCAGGACCGTGCTAGTTCAGCACCTCCTTGGGTAATGTCCTGTCTCATGGCTGTCTGTGCCCCTGCCCACAGTGTCTCTGCGAAGCAGGTCATGTTTCACAGGATGACACCACACTGCAGGGTGAAGTGACTTGCTCTAGGCTCCACAATTAGTAGGAAGCAGGGCTGGGATTTGAACCAAGCTTTGTCTGACTCTAAGTCTGTGTTTTCATTGTGTCCTTCCCACCCAGGAATGAATAGATTTGAAAGGATCAGGCCACTTGCTTCTGGCCACGGTGGTGTGAGGACAGGGAGGATCCTTGAGTCCAGATCTTTCTCAGCGATGCCTCCGTGTGAACGAGTGTCTGAATTTTCTCTTCGCAGCCCTACCAGTGTCACCTCAGGGTGGGGGGCACTCATGGGAAGATGAGGGGCCATTCAGGAAGGTGTCCATTCTTTGAGGACAGGGCTTTTCTGTCTTAATCCACCCCAACTCCCCAGCTCAGAGCCTGGGTACAGCCTAGGGCACTGACCAAGGGACAGTGTTTGTTGATTGAGTCAGTTAAAGAAAGAATGAATGAGTGAACGAGTGAGCTCTGAGGATGAGGAGTGACCCAGGTAAGAGGCCAATGACTAAAGATTCCAGAGGGTAGAGGACTACCTTTCACCTGGATGGCTACCTGTTTATTTATTCTGGGGGTGGGGGTGGGGGGTGGGAAATAAGAATATGAATCTGACAATGAAGCAAGGCTGTGTGCTAATTCTATTCCCAGATCAAATCACAGCGCGGGGAACACGTTATCATCAGCATGATTACCTTGGGGGAACAGAGACAGGGAGTTTTATTAAATGAGACAATCTCACTAAAAGGAAGCCTTACATTAGACTTTAGACCTTAAATAATATTAGTCAAGAGCTGACAAACATTCTGCACATGATATTGGGGGGCAAACTGACTCAGAGTGGGTGATTTAGTAGAGGGTTGCTGGACGGAAGTGACCTGGCAGTGGCAGATGGAATGTCTTCTTGGCCCAAGTGGCCGCTAGAAAAAGAGGCTCAGACCCCAGTTTTCTTCAGGCCAGCGGGTGCCTCCCTCCTTGTAACATGGCCGTGCAACCCTCCACAGCCCCACAAGGAGAGGGCTGTGCATTCCTGTGTAGGCACAATGACCCTGAAACTCAACAGACCCCAAGTGGAGGCAAACAACCAATGCTTAGATCAGATTCCCATTCCCCTCCCTGAAAATGCTGCCCTGGAACTTTGGGTCTGTTCTTTTTGTTCCATTTTCCCTACCCTGTCTCTCCTTCCCTGTGTCTCCCTCTTGCATGGAGACCCAGTTAGTGCCACTCAGAAGCTCAGAGCAGGGTGCCATGAAGATCAGGAAGGTCTGGGTTCAAATCCTCCTTCACCAGCTCTGTGACCTTGGGCACATTTTGTCATTTCTTTGGATGTCAGTTTTCTTGTCTGTAAAATGAGTTAGCCGGTTCTGTCCTCATAGGCTTGTTCTGAGGACTGACTGCATTAGTCTGTGGACAGCTCCTAGGATGGTCCCTGGAATACAGGAAGTGCCCCATTCATGTTCTCTTTATTCTTGTCCCTGCTTCTCCTAATGCCTCACCCACACACCCAACCCCAGAAAAGGACTACAGGCTGCTGGAGAGCAAAAGTCTCCAAACAATGGTGGGAAAAGAACATCTTGTGGAGCCAGAGATCTTCTGTCCAGATGATAGATCCGTGTGTTCCCAGAGGTCACCTAGTCCAGCTCCTCCTGTAACACAAGGGGAAATGGAGGATGGAGCTGGGAGCCTGGGGCAGCAAGCTGGCTGCTGTCCTGAAAGTTGACTTGGTCTGTAGAAGACAGCCCTGGGATCTGCCTGGGACATACAGATTTGCCGATCCCCAGGCCAGTGCACCTGGAGTTCAATGCCTACCTCTCCTTTCCGCCTCAACTCTGGAATAATTTATAGAGTTAGAGTAACAATAGCTCCCATTTTCCAGAGACCGAAGTGTGCTGGGCTCCATGGTGAATTTGACATGATGGACTGTGCCATGTAACTAGTGAGGGCTTATTCCCAATTGCATATGAATAAACTGAGGTTCCTAGTGGCTACTTGACCTGTCCAAACCCTACAGCTAGTGAGAAATGGAGCCAGTCCTAAAAACCCAGATGGTCTGACTCCTGGTCTGGCTCAGGCACAAGTAGCAATACTCGAGGCCACAGAGCAGAGCACTCCCTATAGGACGCCTGGTGGCACAATGGCTAACTTGGACTCGGTTTTTCTCTGCTGACCTTGAAGAAGTCAATTACTCATTCTGAGCCTCAGTTCTATCAGCTATAAAGCAGAGGTGATAATTTGTAGGGTCATACCTGCAGTGATCATTGTGAAGCCCAGAATCCTGAAATTTCAGACTGGAGGGGACCTTAGGGACAATCCCATCTGGCCCCTCTTTCATGCCCAGAGAAATTCAGCAACTTGCCAGGCTGTGCAGCTGGAAGGGGCCAGAGCTGGGATCTGATGCTTGACTGCAGAATGTTGTGGCCGTGTGGGGATGCCTGGTTTCCAGTTCTTCCCAGGAGGGCTTATGCCGCCTGCCCCCAGCACTGTCCCTGCCCTATTTCTCTGTGCCCCGTCACTCTCTCTGCACCAGGCATTTCCCCTGTGACACTGCACCCTCTTCACAGCCCCTGCCTGCAGCTCGTCCCAGCTCAGAGAGGGAATGGGGCAGAGCAGGAGCATCTGAACTGGCATTTAGGGAGCTGTGGGCTCTGGTCTATCTCTGATATTGATGTGGTGTCTGGATTCTGCAAATCCCTTCCTCTTCCTGGTTTCCAGAGTCAAAAACAACCATGGTTTTATATATTCAAAACTAGACAAGTTTATCTTTCCCCAGAGTATATTTTGTGCACATCCCCAGTTCTCGTGGATGTTTCTAGGCGTTATACAAAACAACAATTCATCATCAAAAAAGTTTGGGAAATGCTGGGTTAAACAGCTTTCTTTCCCTAATGCTACTTTATTTAAATAATTGATTTAATTTCAAGAGAAATGCATACTCACTCTGATCAGTGGAGAGTGTAGAGCGATATAAAGCAGTTGCCAACAGCCACCACCCTCAACTCTCACTTTCTAAGGTGTCCGTGCGTGCTAAGTCTCTTTAGTTGTGTCCGACTCTTTGTGACCCCATGGACTGTAGCCCGCCACGCTCCTCTGTCCATGGGATTCTCCAGACAAGAATACTGGAGTGGGCTGCCATGCCCTCCTCCAGGGGCTCTTCCCGACCCAGGGATCGAACCTGTGCCTCTTATGTCTCCAGCGTTGGCAGGCAGGTTCTTTACCACTAGCCCCACTTCCCAGAGCAAGCAATGCTCATGACTTGACCTGTGTCTTTACACATGTTTCTATGTTCATAAAACACTTGCACACACACTTGCATATACGTAGGGTGTTTAAGATCCTTGTCTCATTTTCTCCTGAAAGCCTTGTCTGTGCCTTTAATATGTGATGGGCTCTTGATCTCCAAGACCAGTGATGCTGCTTTTCTGAGTTCTGGGCCCTTTTCATCCCTGCAGAGCACCTTGGGTCAGGGCTTTGGGCCGGGCTGAACTAGATGACCTGACACTCGGACCCCAGTGACTCACAGGCCACCAGGGGAGGCTCAGTGAGGTGGGTGGGTGGGTGCTGGCTGCTGCCCTGGGATGTGGCTCAGACCACAGAAGCAATGGGCCTGGGTGGGTGAGGGCCGGCCCTGGGGGCCTGGCGTTCACAGCCGCCCTGAGAATGTCCTGGGTAGCTGCTACCTGCCGGGAGGCGGGCAGGCTGGATGAGAAGGGGCAGTTCAAGTGCTGGTGTCTGTGTCCAAGGAGGAACAAGAAGCCCACTCAGCCACAGAACCCTCTCCCGCCCACATCTTCTGGCTTTAGGTTAGAGGGTCGCTTTGGCCTGGCTGCCCTACTCAGGCTTGCCTGTGCACCTCCAGGTTTGTACTCTGTTCGTCATCTTCACCTTGAGGTCCAGGGGATCGGGGACACACCTGGGATGACATAGAAAGTTGGGGTAGAGCCAGCCCACACCCTGCAGCCCAGGATCATGTCCAGACTTCTCCAGGTGGCTCCCAGTGGGCCACCACACTTCCTGGGGAGCCAAGTCCAGGTGCCCGAAGACCTCGGTTTGAGTGTCGGTCTGTCACTCAAACTGCTGTCAGATGTCAAGGAAGCTCTAATGCCTGGCCCAGGTCTCCAGCTCCCAAGCTGCTGTGCACTGGGCCTTGGCCTCGTCTGGGCTCCAAGTCGATTTTAGGAGTCTGGGCCTGTTCCCCAGAGCCGCGTGCTAATGTCCATAGACGCAGAGCATTATGTAGGGGCGAGGAGCGTGTTCTCTTGCAGCTTTAATACTTTGGTGTTATGGCACATTTTTGAAGACCTGTTGGGTGTATGGTCCAGGGCTAGGTGTGGGGGAATGGAGGAGCAGAGGTTGGGTCGGATCCGTACCCTCTGGGAACATCTGGTCTGTCTGAGTGATCAAGGTGCAGCCACAGGATACATACATCCGGGTGAAGACCAGAGGGGGTGAGAGTCCTGATGGCCTGCAGTGGAGCAGCTCTGTACCAGAGTGGTCAGGGATGGCTTCCTGGAGGTGGTGGTGCCTTGGTGGTATTCTTGGTGAGTGGCACCTCACAGATAAAGGCATAGAGTAGGAATGGTTAGGTGTTAGGAGCCAGCCCTGGGTGGCTTTGTTGAGAAGATGGCTTGGTGAGCCAACACGGCCCCCAGTGAGGGGCTGCACAGGTTGGCCTTTACCTCCACTGTTGGCACAGCTCTGATGGCAAGAACCGGGCAACCTCAGCCACCCACCTCCACTCTAGGGAGGGAAGTTGGCCTCTGTCCCCACAGCAGACTCCCACAGGCCAGAGCCAGCTGAGGGATAAACATCGCTAATCGTTAATTACCATGCGCAGTGTGATTTTATGACTTTCCAGATAAATGCTCTCCGAGGGAGTGTCAGCGTTAGGGACCTCCAGTTCAGTGATCTGGGGTGATGGTTTAGGGAGTGGGGTGCCAGGGGGCTGGAGGAGGGTGGGGCCCCTCAGGAGTCAGGTCTAGGATTTCTGGCCTGGTGGGGGCAGGGGGCTTGCCCAAGCCTGAGCAACAGACTGGAGTGGAGCTGCCCACTCTTCCTGTTACTTTCCCGAACTGTCCACCTGCTGGCTGCCCCCTGTGACCCACAACCCTGGCTGGGCACTGTGGGACTTCTTGGAGAGGGAGATCCTGACGGTCCTTCCTGTGGTCTGTCTGCTGCCTTGGCCTTGTCTGATAGCCTCTGCCCCCAGCTCTCACTCAGGTCCAGTGTCTCACCAGAATTGCGCTGCTCTCCCTTCCTAAGACACAGCTTCACCACCTCTGCTAAGAAGCCCCTGCACATTGGGGCCCTTGACCTGGCTTTAGCTCTGTCTTCTTTGAACCAGAGCCATTTCTTTTTTTCCGCTACGCTGCACAGCATGCAGGATCTTAGTTTCCTGACCAGGGATGGAACCTGTGCCTCCTATAGTGGAAAAGCAGACTCTTAACCACTGGCCCACCAGGGAAGTCCCACCAGAGGCATTTCTGAGTCTGTCTAATGCCACACACAGGCTGGGAGCCCCAGGAGACCTGGAGCTGCTGGGATCTTCTCTGAACCCTTCCAAAGTCTGGCTTGCATTTTGCATGGGGGAGCCTCCCCCGGTATTCACTGCATTTGGTTTCCTTTTTGGGCTTCCCAGATGGCCTAGTGGTAAAGAACCTGCCTGCCAATGCAGGAGACATAAGAGACACGGGTTCGATCCCTGGGTCGGGGAAGATCCCTGGAGGAGGGCATGGCAACCCATTCCAGTACTCCTGTCTGGAGAATCCCATGGATGGAGAAACCTGGTGGGCTACAGTCCATAGGGTTGCAAAGAGCCGGAAATGACTGAAGCGACTTACATGCCTGCTTGCATGCATAGGAAGGGCTGCTCCAGGGTAGAAAGGCCCCTTCGCTGAGCCTGCTCTGTGCCATGTGCTAGGCACTGGGTGAGGCCCTTTCATGCCTTTGCAGAGGGTCAAGATAAGGACCTTGGAGCCAGACTGCCTGGGCTCCACTCCCATCTCTGTCACCCATGAGCCTCCATTTCTCAGCTTCCTCATCTGTAAATGGAGGTTATACTGGGACCCATTTCATTTAGGGTTATTGTGAGGACTAAAGGAGTTCATCAGTTGGAAGTTCTGTCACTGTTTCAGCCCATAAATCTGTGTTGCTAGTTCACTGTTGTTAGTGTATTTCGTGACAAGAGGAAGAAAAGGGGAGTGGCCAAGGGTTTAGGTACGTGCAGGCGGCCCGCGTTTGAATCTTGGTGTGTAACTCAGAGTGGGACCTGTGAAAAGTCATTTCATCGTATGGGTCTGAGTTTCCTCATCTGTCAAATGCTGATAATAGTAGTAGTAGTTACCTCCTAGGATTATGGCTCTGATTAAATGAATTCATGCCCATAAGATTGGTAGCAAAGTGCCTGGAACATAGCTGGCTCTCTGTTAGTGGGGTTGTCATTTGTGTTTAACAGAAGGGGAAGCAGGCTTGGCGAGGGGAAAGGACTTGCCCCCGAACTTTGTTTAAACTCAGCTTCATCTGTGATGAAAGCCAAGGTGTAGTTTTCTCTAGTTCCATCTTCCTCCCATGGACAAGGGTCAGGTCTGGTCCCTTAAGGCCCCCAAAGCTTTCTTTTCTCTCTTATAGTTGGAAAACCTCTGCCAGCCTCCTTCCACCCTAGCACAGCTTATTAGTTAATTGAACCTTGGTGAACTGAATCTCTGAGGGCACCCTTCCTCCAGGAAGCAGGGCCAGCCAAGGCCACTCTGCTGACCTCGGCAGGCACAATGGGTCCCAGGACAATCAATCGCTTTTATGACCGAGGCCACCAACTCTCTTCCTCTTAGATCCCTCTGTGGAAGCCCGGTATGAACACTCAGCGCCAGGTCCACCTCCTTCCTTTCCTTCTGATTTGATTCTGCTGCTGCTAGGCCATGTAGAGAGCTTGTCAAGCACAGGGTCTGCCTCTTGCTGGGCAAGTGGGGAGCCTCCCCCCTTCACTGCACTCTGCAGAGTGCTGACCGGGTGGGCGAGCAGGATCTGCAGCTGAGCGCTGCAGACAGCACTCTCCCACGATAAGGGCCAGCGAGCACCCTTGAATGGGGAGTGTGCCATTCTTTACCAACCCTGGGCAGCTGGGCGGGCAAGGGCGCCTCTCAGACTCAGGGTGGGGGACAGGCCAGCAGACAGTGGGGGCGGCCCACCGCAGGCCTGGAGGAGGCAGATTTGTTTCCCTGGAGGTCTGGGCACAGCGGTGTTGGATTAACAGAGGCTCCTGCTGCTACCCTTGGAGAGAGAGCGGTGTGATTTCAGCCACATCGCCTGGGTGCACCATGAGAGTACTTAAGAGCAATGACTTCAGGCTCACCTCCATGCTTTCCGATGACCTCGAGGGGTGGGATGGGAGGGTGTGGGAGGGAGGGGATATACGTATACATATAAGCTGATCGACTTCATTGTACAGCAGAAACTAGCACAACATAGGTAATATGCTCCAATTAAAAATAAAAAGCTTTTTAATTAAAAAAAAAGCTAAGTGCATGTGCCACAACTACTGAGCTCACACGCCCGAGAGCACGTGCTCTACAACAAGAGAAGCCACCACAATGAAAAGCCCACACATTTTGAGGAAGAGTAGTCCCCACTCTCTGCACCTGGAGAAAGCCCAAGCGCAGTAACAAAGACCCAGGACAGCCAAAATAAATAAATAAATATCTTTAGAAAGAACTTCAAAAGAGGCCAGCTTGCACCCTCATCTAGCTGCCACCACAGCTAATGACAGCTAAATCAAATTTCATCACATATGGGTGCCAAAGGCGCGGCTTTAAAATTATGCCCATTGCTTTTTGACTGTCCTTCCCTCACAAGTTGAACCTCATCGCCCTGCCCTTGAATGTGGGCTGGGTTGCCCCTGCCTTTTCCCCTGACCCAGGCCAGGGAGGGACCCCGAGCACCACAAACATTTTAACAGCAGTCCTTGTTGCAATTCCCTGAACACCCGCCGCAGGTCAGGTGCCAGGCTGAGCAGTTTCCTGGAGCCACTCGTTTGATCCTAACACCCAGCAGTGGGGTAGCAACTACTGCTCACATCCCCCACTCAGGGATGAGGAAACTGAGGCACAGAGTTAAATCACTCACAGCACCATCCATAAGTCACAAAGCCAGGCTTGAAGGTCCTTCTTAACCACCATGTTACCCACAAGGATGCAGCTGCAAAGAGAACCCTGGACCAGCTGCCTGGAGACCTGGCGGGTCCCTCTCTGTCTCCACCCCGAGCCGGCCCTCTTCTCTCTGGGTCAGGGAGATGGATGTGGTGTTCCTCGCAGGCGGCTGACCACACAGCTGAGAGGACCCCTGAATGAGAAGGAACCTGGTTACCTTGGCAGCTCAGAACCCACAGCGGGCTGGGGAAAGGCAGGAGGAGAAGGGAAGTCAGCCTCCATCCTGAAGGATGAGGGAAGCCGGGACCTAGGGTCAGGTGAAATTTGGGGCCGTCATCAGAGGGACCTGGGGGGACAGGGGCTCTGGAAGCTGACTTGGGAATTCCTGGCTCAGCTTTGCAGACAGTGGAAATCTTTAACAAAATTCAAGAAAATACTGTTTGAGCAGGATGGCCTGATTTCCACGCAGTTTTCAGTGCCACCTCAGGGAGTTCTCACCTTGCCCTGCGTGTGCCAGCTTAGCGATGCCCTACTCCAAGTCCCCCAGGTAAGATCCTGTGGGGCCACTTGGACTCTTCCTGGCACCCAGCTACCCTCATCTTGTCAGCCGCTGGGGGGTCCTGCCTCCTCCGCCCTTGCTTCTGCCTGCTTCCCTCCCACGCCACTGTCCCTTCCCTACTGCCATCTGGCCTGCCGGGTCGCTGCCATCATCTCTGGCTGCTTCTCTCTACCTGGGGACTTCTTCCCTCCAGCTGCTTCTCTACCCTTCAGACTGAGGGGTCTTCCTAAGGCACGACTGAGCTAATACTCACTCCTTGCTTGCAATTCCTCAGGGGCTTCCATGGCCCTCAAGAGAAGTCCGAATCCCTGAGCTTGTCTAATGGAGCCTTTTGTGCCTGGCCACTGCGGACACAAACTCTGAGTCCTGTCACTGAACTAGAAGTCTTCTCTGACTGGGAGGCAAGGTAGTAATCAGCGAAGACTTCCTGGAAGAAGTGAGTGCTAGGCTGGGGACTAAAGGCTGATTGAGAGTTCATGCCACCAACCACACAGGAGGGGTGCTCCAGGACACCCGTGGCCAAAGACTTTTCTGGAGGTGCTCCCACCCTCTCAGTCCCCCCGTGCCTTGGGATTTCTAAGAGGAAGCAGAACTGTGGGGCCATGCCACCGGTCATGCGGTGTGGACATTCTGGGAAATACCGCTGGCCACCGGGTTGGCGTCCACACAGGAAGGGGGATTCAGGACTGGATTTGCTGAGCTCAGATAAGCAGCCCTGAAGTTCCCCAGAGCGGAAGGCCTCATGCAGGGGAGCCTTGTGTGTGTGTGTGATAGGCGTGTTTGGAATGGGCAGGTATTGATTGAAACTGTCATACACAAACAGGAGACAAACAGACTGGTGGAGAGCTGGACTTGGGGAGCAAGAGAGCATCCTGTGTTGGTGAAGGGACCAAGATTCTTTCTGCAGGGTGTCCGGTGAGATCCCTGGCTGGGTTCACAGCTAGACAGGAGGGGTCACCATCTCCAGAGCAGGGCTAGGCAGGGAAAGCCTGGGCACCTAAGCTTTTAATTTGTTCAGATAATGTAATAATTTGAGATGAATCAATCCCTCTGCAAAACCATTTGTGTCAAACCCAGCCCTTGACTCAAGGGGTACCAGGAGCCCCAGGAAAGAACTAGACTTGGCATTGAGGAAGACGTCTCTGTTCCAGCCCTCCAGTTGTCAGTGGCTGCTGACATGTGATACTGGGCAGCTGCTTCCCCTTTTGAGGACCTCTGTCTTCCCTTCTGTGAAATGGGCATCTCAATAATAATTTTTCTGCCCCCAAGACAGTTGGAAAATCACATAGGATAATGGAGATAAGGTTACACAGGCATCTGGTGAGCTATGTACAACCGTTGTGGGTGTGGGAGATGAGAGGAAGGCTTGACCCTGCCCTCACACAGCTCATGGTCTGGTAGGCAGGCAGATAAATAGTCAGATTAGAAAATCTCACAGGGAAGGTACTGGTATAGGGAGGCATTCTGCAGAAGCATCTCATCCAAGGAAGGCTTCCTGGAGGAAGTGACATCTGAGCTGAGACTTGAAGGAAGGAAGGAGGAACAGGCAAGTAGGAAGGGAGAGTGTTCAGGGTGGAGGTCAGGGAGAAGGGGGAAGGAAGACACCTGACTGGTTCTTGCTAGTTCAGCATCTTTCAGGCATTGCTCTTCTAAGTCTAGTAGGAGGTAGTGAGAGCATGTGACAAGTACTATGTATCTATACATGGTGGTGAGGAAAGTGTTCTGGCTTGGAAGGCTTCACTGTGCTTCAAATCTTTTTTTTTAATTGAAGTATAGTTAATTTACAGTGTCAGTTTCAAGTGTATAGCAAAGTGATTCAGGTATACACACACACACTGTTGTTGTTTAGCCACTAAATCTTGTCCGACTCTTTGTGACCCAAAGGACTCGGCATGCTAGTTCTCCCTGTCTCTCACTGTCTCCCAGAGTTTGCCCAAGTTCATGTCTGTTGAGTCGCTGATGCTATCCAATAATCTCATCCCCTGTAATGTGGAAACACACACACACTCTCATACATATATATTCTTTTCAGATGCTTTGCCATTATAGGTTATTATAAGATACTTGGGCTTCCCACGTTGTGTAGTGGTAAAGAATCTTCCTGTCAATTCGGGAGACACAGGAAATGTGTGTTTGATCCCTGGGTCGAGAAGATCCCTGAGAGGAGGAAATGACAACCCACTTCAGTATTTTTGCCTGGAGAATCCCAAGGACAGAGGAGCCTGGTGGGCAACAGTCCATGGGGTCATGAAAGAGTTGGACATGATGAAGCACACGCACACTTGACTTGATAAAATATTGAGTATAGTTCCCTGTGCTATACAGTATACAGTGCATATCTGTTAATCCCGAACCCCAAATTATCTCCCCACCCCACTGCCCAAGCCACCCTGCTCCCATTATCCCCTTTGGTAACCTTGAGCTTGTTTTCTATGTCTGTGAGTCTATTTCTGTTTTGTAAGTAAGTTCAACTGTGTCATTTTTTTTTTCCAGAATCCACATATAAGTGATATCATGTGGTGTTTGTCTTTCTCTGTCTGGCTTACTTCATTTAATGTGATAATCTCTATATCCATCCATGTTGCTGCAAATGGCATTATTTCATCCTTTTTTATGGCTGAGTAATATTCCATTGTATGTGTGTACTATATCTTCTTTATTCATTTATCAGTTGATGGACATTTAGGTTGTTTCCATGTTTTTACTATTGTAAATAGTGCTGCTATGAACACTGGGGTGCATCTATCTTTTCAAATTAGAGTTTTCTACAGATATATGCCCAGGAGTGGATTGCTGGATCATATGGTAGCTCTATTTTTAGTTTTTAAAGGAAACTCCATACTGTTTTCCATAGTGGTTGCACCAATATACATTCCCACATTCCCACCAAGAGTGTAGGAGGGTTCCTTTTTCTCCACACCCTCTCTAGCACTTATTACTTGTAGACTTTTTGAGGATCACCATTCTGACTGGTGTGAGGTGATACCTCATTGTAATTTTGATTTGCGTTTCTGTAATAGTGATTTTGTTGTTCTTCAGTCGCTCAGTTGCATATGACTCTTTGTGCCCCCATGGACTGCAGCATACCAGGCTTCCCTATCCTTCACCATTTCCCAGGGCTGGCTCAGACTCATGTCCATTGAGTTGGTGATGCCATCCAACTATCTCATCCTCTGTCATCTCCTTCTTCCCCTGCCTTCTATTTTCCCCAGCATCAGAGTCTTTTCTGATGAGTCAGCTCCTCACATCTGATGGCCAAAATATCGGAGCTTCAGCTTTATCATCAGTCCTTCCAATGAATATTCAGCGTTGATTTCCTTTAGGATTGACTTGTTTGATCTCCTTGCAGTCCAAGGGACTCTCAAGAGTCTTCTCCAGCACCACAGTTCAAAAGCCTCACCTCTTCGGTGCTCAGCCTTCTTTATGGTCCAACTCTCATATCTATACATGACTACTGGAAAAACATAGCTTTGACTATACGGGCCTTTGTCGGCAAAGTAATAGCTCTGCTTTTTAATACACTGTCTATGTTTGTCATAGCTTTCCTCCCAAGGAGCAAGCATCTTTTAATTTCATGGCTTCAGTCACTGTCTGCAGTGATTTTGGAGCCCAAGAAAATAAAGTCTGTCATTGTTTCCATTGTTTGCCCATCAATATGCCATAAAGTGCTGGAATTGGATGTCATGATCTTAGTTTTTTGAATGCTGAGTTTTAAGCCAGCTTTTTCACTCTTCTCTTCCACCTTCATCAAGAGGATTTTTAGTTCTTCTTCACTTTCTGCCATAAGGGAGGTGTCATCTGTATATCTGAGGTAATTGATATTTCTCCAGGCAATCTTGATTCCAGCTTGTGATTCATCCAGCCTGGCATTTTACATGATGTACTCTGCACATAAGTTAAGTAAGCAGGGTGACAATATACAGCCTTGACAGGCTCCTTTCCCAATTTTGAACCAGTCTCTTGTTCCATGTTCGGTTCTAACTGTTGCTTCTTGACCTGCATACAGGTTTCTGAGGAGGCAGGTAAGGTGGTGTGGTATTCCCATATCTTTAAGAATTTTCCACAGTTTGTTATAATCCGCACAGTCAGTGATATTGTGCCCCAAATCTTAGATCCAATGATAAATCTTGAGAGGAATAAAGTGAAAATTGCTTAGTTGTGTCTGACTCTGTGACCCCATGGACGATACAGTCCATGGAATTCTCCAGGCCAGAATACTGGAATTGGTAGCCTTTCCCTTCTCCGGGAGATCTTCCCAACACAGGGATTGAACCCAGGTCTCCCGCATTGCAGGTGGATTCTTTACCAGCTGAGCCACAAGGGAAGCCCAAGAATACTTGAGTGGGTAGCCTATCCCTTCTCCAGGGGATATTCCTGACCCAGGAATAGAAACAGGATCTCCTGCATTGCAGGCAGATTCTTTACCACCTGAGCTATCAGGGAAGCCCCTCGAGAGGAATACCAGAAATTAATACCACCATCAAAGAATGCAACAAAGGAGGCTTCCATCACATCCCCATTCAGTTTACCAATCTTGTTCATACAAATACCAGATGGAACAAGCACGATGTTGAATTACTACCTCCTCTGAGAAGCCTTCATGGACTTCCCCTGGGCAGAGTGAGTTATAACCTGCTGGGAACACCATAGTACCCAATATGGGCTCCATTGTGGAGACACTTGTGTCGTCTGCCAGGTTAGCTCAGGGACACTTGGTCCCTCCTGCCTGTCCTTCCATGCCTAGTTGTTATCCTGAGCAACTAGCTGACAGTTGTTTGCTTGTGGTAGCCTGGTGACAAGGTCTAGTGCCTTCCAATCTGTTCTGTGTCTGGAGCCTGGAAAGGCAGGCTCCCGAAGGGGGGCTTTCAGAGACATCAGCCCACTTTGGGAAGATGAGGATTTCCACGTGCAGATATTAGCTAATGGAGACCCTCATTACTTGTCATAGCATTAATTTTAGGAGATAGTCCTGGTGCACATTAGAAGGCTATTTTAGTGCCACACAAATTAGACACCTTTATTAGCCATCGGAGGTCATGGAGGTAATGAAGTACTTGAGCTAGAAGAGAGAAATCACGCTTCACCTTGAGTCTGGTCATTTCCCCTGTGTTTCAACAGCGTCAGCTCATCCATCAGGTGCTGCCCACAGCCTGATAGAGTCTCAAGCATCCCTGAACAGGAGTGAGCAGGCAAAAGTGGGGTGTGCATGAGCGATCTGGGTGCACACTGGGGCCTGACTGGTGTGCACATTGTATGGGGATGTGTTGTTAAATTGTGTGTGTGTTAGGGTTTGCATTTAGTCCTAAGATGTTCACTTCTTTCATCTCTGTTTATACTATATTCCTATTTACTAAGTGGGAAGGGGGCTTCTTTATACAGTGCTTCATCTCTAATAAGTCAGTACCTGTTTTGTTTCTGGAATGATCTTTATGTGCATTAAAAAAAAACTTCAAAGTTTAAAAAAACCTCATCTGTGAGTGTGCCTGTGTGTGTCTGGGAGTAAACATGTATGTGTGTTTTGTGGAGCGCGACTGGATTTCCAGTCATATGTTCGTGTGTAGAGACCTTTCTAACTGAGCAGGAGGAAGGGAGATGGACTGCCTGTGCAGTGGTGAGCACTCCGTCATGTGAGGTGCTTGTTGAGACCTGGGCAGCTGACCTCTCTGGAGGGGCTCTTATCAGGGAGGAGGGGCACTGCGGAGGCCATGGGTCGACTCCGCCTCGGGAATCCCAGGATTCTGGATCTCTCTGGGCCCTGACTCCCACTGCAGGGGGCGTTTAGCCCAGTGACCTCCAGCTGCTTCCCAGGCAACATGGTAGCTTTGTCCAGGCCTTCTCTGTGGGGCTTGTGTGGGGCTAGCAGGCCCTGAGCTAGCTCCGGTTTCTTCCAGGGTGCCCTTTGGTGACATGGAACAAGAGCTCCTTCCAGCCACCCTGGTCTGTGGACCCCATAGTCGCCCTGGTTCTTATGAGCACAACACTGTACAGTCTACCAGAGAACTTTTCCCTCCTTGCCCAAGAACCCGCCGTCCCGGCAGCAGCCACTGCCCAGTGGCCAGCTGAAGAGAGCGTGGTCATCCCCTTAGCGGTACGCACGCAGCGAGCAAGCGGCTGAGCTGATCTGATCTAGAGCCCCCGTGCCTCCCAGGGGAACCACTCCCCCACTCCTCCATCTCTGCTTCTCCTGCAGCCTCTGGGGACATCCCTGGGCAGAGGGGCAAGGGTCTGTGAGCACAGCGGGCGTGGAGGGGCAGGGAGACTGCCTCTCGGGAGAGCTGTGGAGTCGCCCCTTCAGACCTGGCCTGGATTGGGAGGTCACAGCATCTTTCAGGGTCTTCCTTTCTTCACCCATAAAAATCTTGTCAGGAGAAATGAGAAAGGCCCAGGTATGTTCCGGGGGCTTAGGAGGCGTGTCTCGTAGGTGGTTCTTGCCCTTCCCTTCCCCTTATAACTGAGTGGGTAGGTGCAGGATCAGGTCTGTGTAGCCAGGGAAGAAGGTAGGAGCCGGTGTGCCTGTGAGTGTTCTGGGGTGGTCGTCCCCATTGCCCTTCACTCTGTCACTTTGAGGCCAACCGTCCCCTTCCCGTCTGGGCCCCATGCCAGCCCAGGTGGCCCCTATTGTTCAGGGAGAGTTGGAGACTGGAGGCGCACCCCTTGCGGGAGGCTGAGCCTGGAGCAGCGGAGCTCTCTTGCCGCTCCCTGTCTGAATTTCTTGGAGGAGAGGCCCAGAGGAGACACTCAGCACTTTTTGCTCTGGTCCCATGTCCTATCTCCCTTCCCGGACGAGGGGCCGTTTGACTCATCACTTTCTCTCTCTGGACCCTGATGAGTATCTGACATGTGGTGGCTGTTTACAGAATAAACAAAGTGAAATCATGCACAATGAGTAAGGGTCTAGGGGCCCTTGTGGAGTCAGGGGGGTTAGTCCTGCCCCAGGACTTATCCGCCCTCATGCCATCAGGGGACGACGAAATCGAGTCCTGGGAGCAGAAGTCTTAGGGATGGGGTGTGGACAGAGAACTCGGGACAAGAGTAAGGCTGCTGGGGAAGGGCTCAGAGCTGGGAGCTCAGGGCTCTGTGGGCGCCTGGCCTGGACTTGAGGATGCTGGAGATGGGAAGCAGCTGGCCCGAGGCGGGGTTGGGGTGGGGCAGGGCAGGTGTCTTCCAGGCTGAGAAGAAAGAGCATATGGCAGTCCTGATGTGACAGTGGGTACCTCTGGGACACGGTGGAGAGTTTAGTAGCGTCTGGAGCTGCCTAGGCCATGGCGTGAACTGTGGGCAGAGCCAGGTCTAGAACCCCACCTAGCCAGGCTCCTTGTTCAGTGCTCATTCAGCGTGCGCCCACCCAAGTCCAAAGGCCTGGACAGCCAGCAGAGGCAGTGACCAGAAACCTTTCTCCTGGCCTTGTCTGCCCACTGCACTCAGGAACGGATGTGTAGGCTCCTCCAGCCCTGGGGCCTGCTGATGAGAGACCTGGTCTCCTGGACACAGCACGTGGGGTTGCAGCTGACCTCTGTCCCCAGGCCTCCTCGCGCAGGCCCTCTGTATCCCCAGGCTTCGTTTTCTCAGGCGGTACTGCTGAGGGGAGGAGGGAGGCGTGGGCGGCCTCCACACACGGTGGCAAATTTGGGCCATCGATTTGCACTTATTTCCTGCTCAAATGATCCAGGCTGGCTGCTGCTGGGGGTGGGGGTGAGGGGGCTGCTCTTTAGCATTTTAAGTTTGCAGATAATTGGAGGAAAATAACTCCAATAATGAAATCACTGCTGGATCGCATTCTGATACGTGACAAATCAATTCATTTATGATACCTTCTTTGTCACACTGAGCCATTCTGGCGCTCAGTGGAAACCTCTTAAATTAATAAAACTGTTAAATCCATAAAACCCTCCGTTCCGAGTGGCACATCACAGCACAAGTTTGAATCATTAAAGGAATAAAACTGATAAATGTGAGCTGGGGAGTGTCTGTGTCTGCAAAGAGGGGCTGGCTTTTAAGACAGATACAATATAATAGTCATAAGCTCCGGTATTTCCTCCCTCTGTGTATGTAGGGGGGCATCTGCATATTTCAGCAGGTGGAGGTTGGTAGATACAGGTCTAGCCAGCATGGGGCAGGCTGCTTTAGTGGTGATTGGTGGGGCTTTAGCCTTTTAAATAAAATATGATTTAATAGCAAAGGACAAAATATAAAGACTTTATTGGACCCCATCGAACCTGACTTAGCTCAACAGGGATTTTCCAAAATAGCTACACTTGTCTGCAAGGGGCAGGGTGGCAGGGTTCTCACATCACGCACTGACTAGGGAGCAGGAGGCTTGGCATATGGGGGGAGAGGGGGCGGTTTCAGTCCTGTGGGCCCATGCTCTGGAACGGATGGAGTGTTCAGCCCCTATTCTAGAATGTAAGGGGTTCATCCTCTGTGATAGCTTTCAAACTTTATTTACCCAAAATAAGAAAGAATTTTTACATTGTGCCCCAGTACACACATCTATGTTATACATACATTGTTGTTGTTCGTTAGCTAAGTCATGTCCGACTCTTTGCAATCTCATGGATTGTAGCTTATCAGACCTCTCTGTCCTTCACTATATCCTGGAATTTGGTCAAATTCATGTCCATTGTGTCGATGATGCCATCCAACCCTCTCATTCTCTGTTGCTCCCTTCTCCTGCTCTCATTCTTTTCCAGCATCAGGGTCTTTTCCTTTGAGTCGGCTCTTCATATCAGGTGGCCAAAGTATTGGAGCTTTAAATTCAGCATCAGTCCTACCAATGAATATTCAGGGTTGATTTCCTTTAGGATTGACTGTTTTGATCTCCTTGCTGTCCAAGGGACTCTCAAGAGTCATCTCCAGCACCACAATTGGAAAGCATCAAATTGGAACAAAATTTCAGGAAACAATACTTACACTTAATGAGTTTTGGGAATTCTGTTCTATTCTAATTTCATTCACTCTATTCCATCCCATATTCCATTCTAAGTTTTTAAAATGTCTTAATCCCTTAAATTACTTACATGATCCACTCATGGGTGTGATCAGCAGTTTGAATAATTCTGATCGGGTTCACCTTTTCAGTCTCTGACAAGGGACTTGTCACATGGGAATGACTATCCCCAGCCCTAGGCTAGAAGATACCCAAGGCCACAACCTCCCAGGCCGTCTGAACTTCATGGCTGCTCCCTGCTCTGACTCAACCTGAGCTCTGCCAGAACTCTCCTCACCAGTCACCCTGTGCAGGACTTAGGGACTCCAGAGGGGAAAGGGATGGGGGAGCTGTCACTGGTGGCCTTGGCCAACCTTCTTGAAAAGAGAGTGGGAGTGACAAGCCAGCTCACCTGTCCTCTCCACCCCACTGCGATCAAAGGGGTTTTTGAGAGCAGGGGAACCATGCCCCTGACATAATGAGCCACGTGGGCCCAGCAACCTGACAAGACTTCACTGCCTCCAAGCATCAGGAGTTCTTGACAGCCGGCAACTGGAGTGCTAATTGCCAGCCAGGGTGAGGGTGGCAGCCCCTGCAATCCATATCAATTATGGACTTTGGCCGTGGCTGTGAGACAAAAAGCTTCCTCCGAGGCTGTCAGACCCTGGTGTCATTACTTGGGGCTGCCGAAGGCTGGATGGGAACAATGGCCACCCGCTACCCCCCACCACCTTGGCGGCCTGGCCATGGGCACCGGTGGTCTGCCAGGCAATCCCTGACAGGTGTAGGGCACACATGCAGCCCGCCTGGGCCGCTTTGGTGTTTTGTCATTGTGCTTGTCACCCTGGGACTGAGGGGCTGCCATCACCTGCCATCACCTCTCTTATAGAGGGAAAGCTTCAGGTCCAGATTTTTTAGAACAAATTTTTTTTTTCTTTCCTTGTGGGGAAATCAAAATGTCCCCCCAAAGCATCATGATTGGCAGCTTTCAAACTAAGAGCTGCTGAGGGGGCCTGGGAGGCTCAGTGGGTGACATTCAGGACCCTCCATCCCATGCTCAGGTTAAAACTGTTTTTCAAGTCAGGCTTTCTAGGACAACACTGGTTCTTAGACTTTTGCATGTTTTAACCTGGTGATTATGCTAAGTCACTCAGTCATGTATGACCCTTGGCAGTTTCATGGAATAGCCCGCCAGGCTCCTCTGTCCATGGGGATTCTCCAGGCAAGAATACAGGAGTGGGTTGCCATTTCCTCCTCCAGGAGGATCTTCCTGACACAGGAATCAAACCCAGTCTCCTGCTTCTTGGCATTGGCAGGTAGATTCTTTACCCCTGAGCCACTGGAGAAGCATTTTAACCTGAGATTTGGTTAAAATAGAGTTTGTGGGTCTCAGTGGGTTTGAGGTGGGGCCATTATCTGCGTTTCTTAAAAGTTCCCAGTAATGCTGATGTTGTTGGTACATGGATCACACTATGAGACCCATTGCCCTAGAAAGTGCTTCTGAGTCTGTGTGTGTGCACTGCATATATCTGGGAACTTTCTCAAAATACATATATTAGAGCATCACCTCAAACCTAGAGTCTTAGTTTACAGACCACTGCTGGAGGCTGAAGAGTCAGATACACCTCAGTGCTCAGACACCACGTTGCTGGAGGAAATCATAAGAGATGCCTTGTCCCCCTCGAGGATAGAAAGTGCTTTTTGAACGTTTGGAGTTGTTCAGAGAGGCAAAGGTTGCCTAGAAAAGTAGTGAGCTCCCCAGGGCTAGAGGAGTCAAAGCCCAATTTGGGCCACCAACCCTCTAAGCTGTGCTAGAAGAGACTTTGAATGAAATAGAGGTTGGATGGGGGCCTCTGAGTTTGCCTCCCTCACTGAGACATCTGTGCACTGGGGAATTGGGAACAGAGTCTGGGCAAGACCTGGGTTTAGAAATCTCTCTCCCATTTTGCAGGATGCCTCGAGGCTCAGTGGTTTAATTTCTCAACATACTTACTCTGTGACCCGCCAGTTCTTCAGGTACTATCTTACCATTCCCCTAAATATAGCCTACTTCCCCACCCCCTACCGCTGAGAGAGGCAGGTGGCTGTACCCCATTGGCAGATGAGGAAACTAAGGCCCAGGGAGGTGAAATGACTTGTCCAGGGGTCTGTCACACATCTTTTTGGGGTCCTGGACACACAGCACTGGCAGTGAAGGTGGGGGACAGCATGTGAGGCAAGAATGACCCTGGCACAGCATCCTGAATGATGGCACCGTTGACATGAATGGTGAGCCCCTAGGGAAGCTACTAAGAGGTCTCTGAGCTGTCCATGACCTGGGAGTCTGGGGACCTGGGGCTCAGAGTCTGATCCAGGGTCTTCCTGGGACTCAAGTCGCTCTGTGTTCTGGGGGACTGAGTCTAGAGCACTTTTCCTCTCTATAGTCAGCCTTGCTCCTGCAAGTCTCCCATAGTCTCTTCCAGACTTGTGCCTTGCTATGGCTTTTTAGAAAAACCAGCTTTATTGAGGTATAATTTACATGCCATAAAGTCATCCATTGGAAGTCCACAGTTCAATGAGTTTTAATAAATTTATACAGTGTGCAGCCATTACAACAATCCAGTTTAGAACATTTCTATCACTCCAAAAAGTTCTTTCTTGCCTGCTTTCAGTCACTCCCATCCTCAGCCCTAGGAAGCTACTGATCCACTTTCTTCCTCTAGAGTTTTGCCTTTTCTAGAAATTTCATGTAAATGGAATCACACAACAAGGAATTTTTTGTATCTGGCTTTTTTAACCCAGCATAATGCTTTTTGGGTACATTTCTGTTGTTTCAGGTGTCGGTATTTCCTTCCTGTTTATTGCCAAGTAGTATTCTTGTGTGTGACTATCCATGGTTTATTAATTCACTCACCAGATTATAGACATTAGGATCCCTTCTAAGCTTGGGAAATTTCAAATAATGCTGTTTTGAACAGTTGCAGATAAGTCTTTATGTCTGTATGTATTTTCACTTCTCTTGGGTAGATACCTCAGTTCAGTTCAGTTGCTCAGTCATGTCCGACTCTCTGAGACCCCATGGACTGCAACAAGCCAGGCCTCCCTGTCCATCACCAACTCCCAGAGTCTACTCAAACTCATGTCCATTGAGTCGGTGATGCCATCCAACCATCTCATTCTCTGTTGTCTCCTTTTCCTCCTGCCCTCAATCTTTCCCAGCATCAGGGTCTTTTCAAATGAGTCAGTTCTTCACATCAGGTGGCCAAAATATTGGAGTTTCAGCTTCAACATCAGTCCTTCCAATGAACACCCAGGACTGATCTCCTTTAGGATGGGCTGGTTAGATCTCCTTGCAGTCCAAGGGACTCTCAAGAGTCTTCTCCAACACCCAGTCATATGCTAAGTACATGTTTAGTATTTAAAGAAACTACTGTTTTCTAAAGTGGCTGCACCATTTCATATCTTCACCAGCAGCTTATAAAGGTTTCAGTTTCTTCTCTTCCTCTCCAACACTTATTCCCTTTCTTTTCATTAGAGCCATTCACCTGGGTCCATAAGAGTATCTATAATTTGCATTAATATATCCTTAATGATGAGTGATGCTGAGTTTCTTTTATTGGCCTATTAGTCATTTGTATATCTTTGGTGAAGTGTTTATTCAGATCTTTTTCTTTTAATTGGGTTGTTTTATTATTGAGTTGTAAAAGTTCTTCATATATTTTCCATACACATCCTTTATTAGATATATAATTCATCAGCATTTTCTCCCAGTCTGTTGCTTGTCTTCTCTTTTTCTTAATAGTCTTTTGAAGTGCAAAAGTCTTAAATTTTAATGAAGTCCAATTTTCTCTATCATGAATCATATTTTGGTGCCATATATAAGAAATATTTGCTTAATTCAAGTACTAAAGATGCAGAGTACATCATGAGATGTGCTGGGCCAGATGAAGCACAAGCTGGAATCAAGATTGCCAGGAGAAATATCAATAACCTCAGATATGTGGATGACACCACCCTTATTGCAGAAAGTGAAGAAGAACTAAAGAGCCTCTTGATGAAAGTGAAAGAGAAGAGTGAAAAAGTTGGCTTAAAACTCAGCATTCAGAAAACTAAGATTGTGGCATCCGGTCCCATCACTTCATGGCAAATAGATGGGGAAACAATGGAAATAGTGAGAGACTATCTTTTGGGCTACAAAATCATTGCAGACAGTGACAGCAGCCACGAAATTAAAAGACGCTTGCTCCTTGGAAGAAAAGCTATGACCAACCTAGACAGCTTATTACAAAGCAGAGATATTACTTTGCCAACAAAGGTCTGTATAGTCAAAGCTATGGTTTTTACAGTAGTCATGTATGGATGTGAGAGTTGGACTATAAAGAGCGCTGAAGAACTGATGCTTTTGAGCTGTGGTGTTGGAGAAGACTCTTGAGAGTCCCTTGGACTGCAAGGAGATCCAACCAGTCCATCCTGAAGGAGATCAGTCCTGGGTGTTCATTTTAAGGACTGATGCTGAAGCTGAAACTCCAATACTTTGGCCACCTGATGTGAAGAACTGACTCATTTGAAAAGACCCTGATGCTGGGAAAGATTGAAAGCAGGAGGAAAAGGGGACAACAGAGGATGAGATGGTTGGATGGCATCACTGACTTAATGGACATGAGTTTGAATAAGCTCTGGGAGTTGGTGACGGACAGGGAAGCCTGGTGTGCTGCAGTCCATGGGGTCGCAAAGAATCAAACCCAACTGAGCGACTGAACTGAACTGAAAGATGTTCTATGGTAAGTTGTGTAATTTTAGCCCTCATGTTTAGATCTATCATCTATTAATATTTTGAGCTAATTTTGTGTGTGGTATAAGGTAAGAATCTAAGTTTTTATTTCTTTTGTATACAAACTGAATACAAATATCCAGTATCTCAGCATTATCTGTTGGAAAGACTATCCTTTCCTCATTGAATTGTCTTGGCACTTTGTTGCAAATCAATTGATCATACACACATGGGTTTATTTCAGATATTTTGTGCTGTTGCATTGATCTATTCTTTGGTCTTTTTAATATAATGCTTCATATTAAAATGTAGCTTTATAGTAAAATTAGAAATCTAGCAGCTTGAGTTCTCCAACTTTGTTCTTGGTTTTAAAAACTGTTTTGGCTATTCTAGGTTATTTTCATTTTCATATACATTTTAGGATCAATTTCTACAAAAAAAGCCTGCTGAGATTTTGATAGAGACTTGATAGGAATTTTAATGGTAATTTGGGGAAACTCACCATTGTAACAATTTCTAGTGTTCCAATTCATGAGTGTTTACTTAGATCTTTTATTTAGGTCTTCTTTGATTTCTCTTGACAGTATTTTATAGTTTTCTGAGTACAATTTTTAAATTTCTTTTGTTAAACTTATTCCTAAATACTTCTTTCTTTTAGTGGTATTGTGAATGAATTGTCTTCCTAATTTTATTTTCAGGTTGTTCATTAGTAGTAGACAGAAAAACAACTGATTTTTGTATATCCATCTTCTATGGTGGTTTTAAAACCAAAGTGTCTTGACAGTGCTCCCATTGAGGGATGGGATCTATGCTTCTACCCTTGAGTCTGGCTCTGGAAGTTCTTGACCAATAATACACTGCAGAAGTAACTCTGGGCCAGTTCCCAGGCCTTTAGAAGCTAGCCACCTCTGCTTCCTGTCCCTTGGGGTACTTGCTCTAGGACCCCAGACACCATGCTGTGAGGAAGTCCAAGCAACCTGGAGGGGCCCATGTGGGTGTCTGTGTGGAGAAACTGATGTCTCCAGTCCTTAGCAGCAGCGACTTGCC